AAGTTTGGTGGTTTACTAAGTTCTGACTTAATGTTGTTTAACGCTGTTTGTTGAGCCTCACTCCAACACCACATGTTTTTGGTACTGAGTAGTTCTCTCAACGGCTTTGTTTTCTCTGCTAAGTGGGGAAGGTACTTGCCTAGATGATTAACCATTCCTAGGAATCATCTCACTCCACCCACAATCGGTGGGTGCCTCCATGTTGCTGACCGCTTTCACTTTTTCTGGGTCTGCTTTGACGCCTGTGTCAATGATCTGTCCGAGGAACTTGATTGAGGTCTTTGCAAACTCACATTTCTCACTTTTCAATGTCACCCCTGCTTTTGTGAGCCGTTCGAGGACTGCGACCAGTCTCTTGTCGTGCTGGGCCTGTGTGTCAGCATAAACCAGAATGTCATCCATTTGGCAGACAACTCCGTTCAGCCACTCCAAAAGCTGAGACATTCGTTTTTGAAAATGCTCAGGGGCTGAGGATATGCCGAAACAGAGTCTATTGAAAGAGTACCTTCCGAATGGTGTGATGAAGGTTGTGAGAAGAGCTGACTGCTTGGACAAAGGTATTTGCAAAAACCCTGAGTTAGAATCAAGTTTTGAGAACAACTTTGCGCCCTCTAGCTGTCCTAGGGTGTGCTCAACTGATGAACATGTGTCTTTCTCTTTTCACAGAATTGTTCAGTTTGGTCAAATCCACGCACACACGCACTTCATCTCTGTTTGGTTTGGGTAGTGGAACCATTCCTGCACACCAGTCAATAGGCTGCTCTACTCTGGAGATTACCCCTAACTCTACCATATGAGCAAGCTCTCTTTTGACTTTGGGCAACAGGGAAAGCAGGGCCCTTCTTGGGGTTGACAGGGCAAATGGTTTAGCGTCTGCTTTAAGCTCAATTTTGTATTCCCCCTCCATTCGGCCTAACCCCCTGAATAGTTTTGGAAACTGCATTTTTACTGCCTCTACCGAAGTGAGTGACACTGCTTCTACTCTGGCCACTAACCCAAGTGCTACACATGCTGAGCGGCTAAGTAACCCTTGCGTCAGGTCTGCTACTACGTACACAGGCTGTACTGTAGTTTTGCTTGGAGTGCTCAGGGTAGCAGTAAATTTCCCTCTAACTGCTAATGGAGACATTCCCGCCCCATACAGTTTCAATAAACCTGTCTGCAGTCTCTCCTGCATGGTGTAATGTGGATGGCCTCAGCCAGCAACACAGGCCCTTTTTTTGTGGATGGCATCAGCCAGCAACACAGGCTCTGTTTAAATATAGTTGGCCTCAGCTAGCAACACAGGCCCTGGTGAAATGTAGATGGTGAAATGTAGTTGGCCTCAGCCAGTAGCACAGGCGCTGGTGTCATGTGGATGGCATCAGCCACCAACACAGGCCCTGATGAAATGTAGTTGGCCCAATCCAGAAGCACAGGACCTGGTGTGGTGATGATGACCTCAAAGGAAACACTGGCTCTGGTGTAATGTGGATAGCCACAGCCAACACCACCTACATTGTTTCGGGCGAGTTCCCCATTCAAATGCATATAATAGTGAGAAACGCACTGTCATGGCGAAATAAAGCGTTGTACAACTTCATATAAATAGCTGTAATTTTTGATAGAAGAGTCAGACACACATATTTATGGCTTTATCTTATAGAATTCAATATCCCCGTGCTGGGCAAACAGGTTTTGCAGCTGTTTGAGCTAAGATTGTCAAGTTATTCACAAAATTAAAACTCTGACACTGTAACGTTGACATTATAATACAAAATCTGTTCCACTTAGAGCCATGCACACCTCCTGAGTTTTTCCAGCGATTTCACATTGGAGCGGTAAGATCCAAATTTCCTTTGACCATTTCATTCTTTGCAAGCAGTCAGATGAAAATCCACCTGAAACTCTTCAAATAATCAGTATAATGTCCTTAACCATGTAAAATCTGTCATAGGCACCATACAGGGCTTGCTTTGTGGCAGGTGAATCGGCAGTTATCTGGCTGGCATTCAAGCTCTAAAGCTTTTACCCTGGCCTTGCTTCCACCTCAAACTCCCAAGGTCTTAGCCAAAGTTTCCACTTGGAGTACCTCTGGGAGCAGTCTGACCAGGCAGAGGAGGTAGAAGCTCCACATTATCTTAACTGACTTTGATGGCATGAACTTGGTCACCTCATTGTATTTTGTGTGATGCTCAAGCTGTCCAGGCTGATTTCCATCTACATTGGCAGTATACACCTTATAGTAACTTTTTACTAGATGGCCACTGTGCAGCAGTCACACACTGCTCTTTACTTAGTAGCCATCAGTACAGCAAACTAACCTGTTTATCCTGTACTAACCCAGAGGATCTTCCTTTTAAATAATAAAGTCTACCTCAGTCTGCAGCATTTTTCACAAAAACAATGATTGACTTTAACAGATTGATTTAAAAAGAGAACTTATATGTGAGCTTTGCACACTGAGAAATCCAACCTCTCGTCCTCTCATTTGCTGTCTTTCTTATCTTTCTCCATCTCTGAGTTGAGTTAGCATTCTTTCTTTTCTCCCCCAGTGAAATACAGCAGCAGGACTTTTAGTTAACAAAACACTGTGACGAACTGCACATGAACAGTTGTACTGGATGATATTATACAAATTAAAGAGACATACACGTTATGGGAGTGATTTATTCCATGATGCAGGTTGAGTGCACTATGCTTCCTGAAAAGAACACAGTTGTTTTTAATTGCAAAACCAAAAGATCGAACAAACCAGAGAAAAATGAAAGGATAGAATCGTGGTTATAATTACACTGCTGTGTTACACTGTGCCACCATATGTGAAACTCCTTGACTACTACACTGGAACATCATAACTCCCATTTTCCCCTGTGTTTAAGGGGACATTGATACAAAGATGACACATCACTAGAAAACTAAGAACAAAAATATGAGCAGAATATGTACAAAAGATGAATCAAACCAGGAGGAGTGAACACGATCTGCTGCATCAAATACAAGATGGACCAAAGGGTGGTGACAAGGCCGTTCAAAGACCTCTTGACACATCTGTAGACTTGTTCAGCTGCTGTCTGGTGCATTGTGACAGCAACTGCTCACATTAGTTCAATTAAAAAAAAACATAAAATGACTGTCAAAAGGTAACAGAAACACTCATTTGTGTTTTACATGTGCTGGAAAAGAAAAACTGACAGTATATCAAAAATATCCATCTACATTGCTGTCACTGTGTAACTGTGAGCATCTTTATAAGACAAGAAAATTATTTCCAGTTAACAATAAAGACAGTGAAATATCCCTACTCATGACATTATAATGAAAATACCCAAAATGTAAAGCAGGCAATGATGCTGAGGAAAGTGGAAACAGTGAGATGTTGTTCAAACCTGGGAAACTCTGTGGCAGGAAACTCCAGAAAAAGACGGGTAAAAAAAGTGACGTATTTTGGTATTAGTGTAAAACACACACACAAAGGGGATATTTACAAAGAGTAAATCACCGATCATATTTACACATTTAAAATGAACCAAACTTTTAAGAAGACGTGATTCCACCACAAGCTTTGCCTAATATAGGCTGATACAATAAAATATATCAACTACAGCTTCCCTCCAATGACGGCAACCTTTGTCTCCAGGGGGTCTGCTCTGACCCAGAAAGTGTTAGGACGGGGATGAGGACAAGGAGAAAGGGCTGTACTGTTTCCAGAAATAACTAAATAACAGGAAATGTCACTGAGCAGATCTGCGTCTGCTGTTTCAGGCACCATGGGACAGACAAAGGTGAAACTGATCAGAAACATCACAGACCACACATCTGTAAATTTTGTTACTTTTAAACAGGAACACATGGAGATGAATGTTTTTTTCTTTTTCTTTTTGTTAAATAAACAAAGCTGTGTGTACATACAGTATATTCCAAAGAAGCTGAGCTGTAAGAGTACTTGTCAGTGGAGATTTCAAAAAGTGCAACACTGCCCTCTTGTGTTTGCATGTGTACACCCATCACATGCAAATTCACAAGGGTTTATATCACATCCTACATTCCATTGAGATTATTATTGCCATTGAAGAGAGGAGCAGAATGATAACTGTGTGTGTGTGTGTGTGTG